CTAGCTCTGCTCCCCCAGCACAGGCGTGCACTCCCATGCATGCCTTTTGGCTTGGATGCTGGAGGTCCGAACTCAGGCCCTCATGCTTGGGCATCAGGTGCCTTACCCACGGAGCATCTCCCCAGACCTTGTAGGATATTTTGGATATAACCTCTTCACTGCACATGTTTATTGCAAATCTTCCCTCCCACTTGATAGCCAGCCATCACATCCTCCCATGATGCTGACTTGGGAAGGGAAGCTCTTGCTTTTTATTTAATCTAGTTTATCAGTCCTGGTGTCTTAGAATCCACATCAGGGCAGTTGGTTCAGCAGAAGGTGCGCTGAGCACACTGGTTGAGAGGGCATCCTGGCACAGCATGGAGGGAAGGCCCCAGCACTCTGCAGAGCCCCACCCTCAGTGTGTGGTTATCTCCCTGAGGCCAAGCTCCTCAGAGGCTGTCTTTTGTGATATGAAGGTGACTGGAGCTACGTGGTGGCTGTATTCCATATGCTGTTGCTACTGTGACAAGACACCTGGCAAAAATAACTTTAGGGTTTATTTTGTCTCACAGTTTGAGAGAACAGTCCACCATAGTGGGAAGGCACGAAGGCAGGACCATGAGGCAGCTGCTCACACCTATCCACAGTCAGGAAGCAGAGAGAGATGAAGGCCAGTGCTCAGCTCGCTTTCTCCTTTTTATTCATTTTGGGACCTTAGTCCATCCATGGATGATGCCCCACACTCAGGGTGGGTCTTCCCTCCTTAGTTAAACGTTTCTGAAAGCATCCTGAAAGACACATCCAGAGGTGTAGTTCCTAGGTGATTCCAAATCTAGATATGATAATGAACAGTGATTTAGAGAGAGAGAGAGAGAGAGAGAGAGAGAGAGAGAGAGAGAGAGACTCCATGGGCTCCCTGAACCCTGGCAAGCCAGGGGAGAGAGAGAGAGATGCTTTGAACAAAAGAGCCCCTTGCTGAAAGGGAGCTCCATTCGAACACCTTTCCCCCACCTTTCCTAGCCTTCAGCTGAGCTTTGTGTGTCTGGGGTTTGGTGGAGGAGGCTGTGGTCTCCCTGTGCAGTTCACGCCTCATACTATGTTTGGCCTCGTACTTTCCCTAGAGCGACCACTGGACCCCAGCTGGTGTCCAGGTCAGCATCTGTGCACAGGGAGCTTGGGGATGTGCAAGAAACAGATGGTTTCTAAGGTGGCACTTGGGGAATGTGTGAGTGGCACAGGGTCAGCACATCCTCACGCTCCTAATCCGGTGGCCCTGGCTGCCTGGGGCCACTTCATTGATAGTTGTTCCTAATACTCTGAAGAAAGTGGGACAAGTAAATTCACAGAGAGCTTTGAAGCTGGAGCTAGTGGCACAAGCTGTGAGGAGCTGAGGCAGGAGGATTCTGAGTTCAAGGCCAGCTATGCCGCTGAGGTAGTTCAAGGCTAGCCTGGGAAGCTCAGTGAGACCCTGTCCTAAAATAAAAAAAAATAAAAGGAGGGCTAGGGATGTAGCTCAGTGGTAGGTTGCTTGCACAGTGTGCACACAGGCCTGGGTTCAATACTCAGTACTATAAAAGCTAATTTAGATGCACCAATGAGTGCCCACGCTTTTCAGAAAGGAGGGAAAATTGTGGAATATTTAGCATATGGTCAAATGCTTTGAGTATTTGAATGGAATAAAGCTACATTTCCCAAATAAATAAAAGATAAATGCTATTGATGCTATCTCAAGGACACCGAGGTGGCCTTGGGACTCTGTCTCTTGGGAACACTGTCCTCAGCTAACTTGTACAGACATGCTTAGAGACAGGTGATATTTTCTAAAAGATTTATTTTTAAATTACATGTATGTATGTATGTCTGTGTGGGGTCTTTCTACATGAGTGAAGTTGACTGTGGATGCCAGAAGAGGGTGTCGGATCCCCTGGAGCTGGAATTATAGATGACTGTGAGTCAACCTGAGTACCAGAAACTGAACTCAGGTTCCCTGGAGGAGCAGCAAGCACTCTTAACTGTTGAGCCATCTCTCCAGTCCCCAGCTGACATTTTTAATAGGTTTGCAGCAAACACTTTTGCTATGTGTAGTCAAGGCTGTGTGCAGCATAGACTTACTTGGGTGACCCTCTCCAGAGAATCCACACAGAAGGTGGATTCTTCCCAGTGCCTGGATGGCACGTCCAGGCTGGAGAGTGTGGAGTCTTAGGCCCTCCAAGGTCTGTCAGAGGGAACTCTTGCCCCTGGCATTTGTAATTTGATATTTTTAAAATCTACCAAGTTGTTCAATCAAAGCCAGAAATCCAGGAGGTAAGCTCTGTACAGAAAGCCAGCGTCCTTCCTTCCTGCCTCTCTCCTGAGTCTAGCCGACTGCTCTGGCAGTCTTAAGTCCAAAGCAAACATTTCACCCGAGTATTTAAAACAGACAGATGGCTTCTAATAGGAAAGCAGAGCCATTCATAGGCTACAGTTGATGTGTATGTGATACGAATCTCAATTACCTGTGCCCTGAATAGGGGTGGGGGTGGGACAGACAGAGCGGCGGGGGGGGTGTGGGAGACTTTGGAAGAACAGCTCAGCAACTGGGACCTGTGCACAGATGACCATGGAGGGCCTTGCCTTCCTGTGTGTAGAGAGCCATAGAGGACCTTTCTCCTATCACAAGTGTTTGGAGAAAATTCTTTTAAACCAGCCTTGGAATGCCGGCCCACCAGCAAACATTCCCAGTGTCCTCTGTATGCTGTCCTGCTCAGTGCTGGGCACTGCTTTCCTTGCTTTACTGACTTAGTAGGTTCTGGACTCTGAGTTCCAGTCACTTGCCTCTAATTACCTTAAGTAGGAAAGCAATGTGAACAAACGATGGGAAGAATTCTGAAGCTAAGATTGCCTTCAGGCTTGGCTGGATCTAGCCACTCCAATCACGTCATTAAAAATGTATCTTTTGGGCTGGGGATGTAGTCCAGGAGTAGAGCACTTTCTGGGCATGTGGAAGACCCTGGAACCCAGCTCTTGGTAAAAAGAAAGGATGCTTCTTGCTACCTTTGCCTCCTTCTCAGCGCAAGCTTGTGTTGGGCAAGTTCCCCCTCTCAGTTGTCTGGGAGCCCCTCCCCCTCAACTCCGACCTTTCATTTTCCCTTAGGCAGAGAACATTCTTCAACAAAAATCAAATCAATTGTGTTGCTGATGGACGGCTGTGATCCGGCCCACAGCCAGGTGGGAGAGAGATGGACAGCTCTAGATCTTAGCTCATCATCTTGTGGACAGATGGTTGATTTGAAAATACAAGAGGCCCTGTGCGTGGGGAACATGGGCGTCTCAGAGCCAAAAGTGTCAACAGTCACTCTGCACCCTACAGGCCAGGCTGGCATTTAGGAGTTGTCCCCTGCCAACTTTGTTCTCTCTGTTGTTCAGCTGCTGCCGCTGGTGACACCAGGGAAGGCGTTTTGAGGCCTGAGTCTAGCCAGTACAGCTGCCACTGGAGAATCTGAACTTGTCCCTTTTAGAACCTGCCTCCGACTTTATAAACACACGAGTCAAACTACTGTGATATGGAAATAATGTGCCATGAGTGATTCTTACCCTGGGTCATCTATAACGGGAAGTCAGCCTGATGCCCTGTATTTCTTCTAGTTCCCTAAAGTGTAATAAATTCAGACTTTTAAGGCTCCGCATCGAGACGGCGTGTCAGCAGCCCAGAGCTGCCTGGCTGGAGACTTGGACTACAAAATCTCTGCCCTTGCCTGTAGAGTCTATTAAAATCTAGACCCACTTCCCGTGGGCCTCTGGGGTCAACAACTTCCCTCTACCATTCCATTTGGTTGAACTTCAAAGGCCTCCTTAAGATAATCAGTGTTTATCCTATCTTGGGGATGGGGGGCTCTTTTTCATTTCCGTCACCATTAAAATGGAGTTGAAAAATCCCCATTTTCAGGGGCTGAGGATATGGCTCAGTGGCGAGTGCTTGCCTGGCACATACAAAGTCTAAGTTCATCCACAGAACTCCCCCTTTTCTGTCCCTTGCAATCAATCTTAGTATCCTTGACAATTTTTTTGTTTTGTGTTTTGAGACAGGGCTGGCTTGAAACTCACCACCTTCCTGCCTCAGCCTCCCAAGTCCTGGATTATGGGTGTGTACCTCTCTGGCTGGATCGATAACCCTTTGGGAGACAGTGGCCTGCTGGTGGGAAAGCATGTGCCTCTGGGCAGCGCCAGGCTGGCCTCTGTTCCTTGGTGCTGTATGGCCCCAAAGCTTTCCTTGGGTCATTTCCAAGGCTGTTTTATGTTTGGAGCTTCCAGAACTCCAGAGATATGGGAGAAGCTTCTGGTTGCAGACTGAATGTAGGGTCTGTGCACTGATGGGTTTCTGGGTGGGACTGTCCTCCTTGTGGGCTCGTGTGCCTGGGTAGTTGCTGCTGTCCCATAGCTGAGCAGTAGATGAGAAAGTAAAGAGAGACAAAGAAGTTTATGGAAGTAGGTGGTTTAGTCTTTGAAATCTGATCCAAGCTGTGTATCTAGGAAGATGCTCCCATGCAGAACATTTGGCCCTTAAAAGCTTTGTAGACCTGCTTAACCTGAGCCCTGGTCAGGAAAGTGAGCTGGCAGGTTCTCACAGCTTTCTGAAATTCTCCTCCTTGCCCCAACTATTCCTGAGTCTCTTCCCCTTGCTCCCTAGAGTGGTTGGCACTACCTGTCCCTGCCTGTCTTCTCTGGAAGAGCAGGGCCAGTTAGCTGTTCCCTGTGTGTCCTAGGCCCGGCGCTGAGTGGACATCCATAGGTGTTTGTCCCAGGACTGAGGAACAGCCTAGCCCTGTAGCAGGGTCCGGAGCTGCATGTTGCAAGACTGGGCAAGGGCAGTGAAGTAGGCTCAGATTCCTCAAGTGCAAATAAATCTCCCCCCATTGCATGTGGATCGACAGGTGAAAAGGCAGGAGTGGTTCCTGGGAGGGCCTGGACTGGGTTGGGATGGGTTGGGGAGGATGTCAGAGAGCTGAGGTCATCAGGAGCTTTTTCTCTTCCCTTCTCAGCTGGAGCAGAGTGAGGCCAAGTGTGAAGACGCCCTGAAGACCCAGAAGGCACTGACTGCAGACCTGGAGAACATGCACAGTGAGCTGGAGAATATGGCCCGGAGCAAGAACCTGGTACTGTCCCTCCCACAGCCCAGAGGCGCAGGCAGAGACACAAGGCTGATGCACTTAGAATAGAATTGTAGGGCACCACCTTGAGACCCACTGCATGCCAATTAGGGATGCAGGCTTCTGTTGTAGACCTACTTGGTGCTCATCTGTATAAGAGGATTGAAGAGTTTGCTGTGGACCCACTGGGTGCTCAGCTCCATAGAGGAGTAGTGAGGGAATGTGCTGTGGAGTGGACCTACTGTGTGCTTCACTGTGTGCTGAACATGATAAAGGCTGAGAGCATATATAGGGGTTGGCTATGTGATCCCATCTACAAAGGCAAGCAAGGAAACCTATTGTAGACTTACTGTGTGCCCAGTACTGTTAGGGTGCACCAAACATGAGCCTATTGCTGCTCAACTCTGAGTGGAACACAGCTAACCATGTGCTCATGGTGTGTTCACCACTCACCACTGTAAGTGGTTCTCAGGCACCTCTTGCAACCCTACTATGTGCCCACCACCATGGGGACTCAGGGTCCTCATCATTGGACCACTGTGTGCCATCCTTTATAAGAGAGAAGCACATTTTCCACAGGCCCACCTAGAAGACCCGACTATTACTTATATAGTTACTATGTGGTCCCCATTGAATGGACAAGTGAGCCAGTGCTGTGGATCCATCATGTTGGTGAAAATGCCTGGGGTCTGGATGCTCAGAGTTGACTGTATAAAATCCTATAGGGGTGGAGATGGAGGCTAATGTGCAGGATCCCCAGCAGCCCTTTGATCATGTGTTTTATTTGCCCTAAATTAAAGGGAACCTGTCCAGAAAAATAGACACACATGCACACATTTTCATGCACACGTATATGTAAGTATACACTTGTGCACACACATGTGTACATATATACACATCCACGAGATTGCCACTTGCATATAAAATCACCAAGCATGCATGCAAAATAAACGCCCTTAGAAGTAAAACCTCTCAGCCAAATCCCTCTACCTACCTGATAGACATTTATTGAACACCTGTTGTATACCAAGTCTGGTGCTCAGTGCTGGGGATACACCTGTGTGCAGGACTAAGTCTCTATTCTGAGAAAGTACAGTTTTGTACTTACATGTTTTATACCATGTGTGTTTAAAATGTGCATGCACAGATTCCCGGGAGCCCACACAGTACCAATCCGTTCACACATGTGCCGCACACAGTCACCTGAACTGAACACACAGTGCACTCTCGAGTACCCCTCACCGGCTGCCTCCCTGCAGGTGGATGAGCAGCTGTACCGGCTGCAGTTTGAGAGGGCGGACCTCCTGAAGCGCATCGACGAGGACCAGGATGACTTGAACGACCTCATGCAGAAGCACAAGGACCTCATCGCACAGGTCGGAAACACTTCCAGACTTGGGGTTTGGGTGGCCAAGACAGCAGGGGGATAGGTGAGAACCATCAACTCTGTGAGGTCCTAAGGAAGAGGACATTACCTTCAGATCTGTGTTCATGCCCCAAAGACATCTCCACTGTGAAAGGATTTGACTTCCTTATATCCACTACCTATCTATCCACTCACCCACTGCTCATCAGTCCATCATTCAGCTATCTGTCCGTGTGCCCACCCACTCATCCGTTTATCCATCCATCATTCACTTACCTACCCATCCATCCACCATCTATTCACCCATCATCCATCCACTCACCCATCTACCCATCTATCTACCCATCCACCTATCCACCCATCCAGCCATCTATTCATCCATATCCTTTTTCTACCCATCTATTCATCTATTTATTTGTCCGTCTGTCCATCTATTTGTCCACCTGTCCTTTCATCCATCCATCCCATCCACCACCATGTACTCATCCACCCATCCATTCCATCCACCACCATGTACTCATCCATCTATCTTTCATCTATTGATCCACCACCATGTACTCATCCATCCATCGTCCATCCTTCCATTCATCCATCATCCATCCATCCATCCACTCATTCCATTCATTCATTTTTCTAGCAATTTTTCCATCTATATCATCTACCATCTATCTATCTATCTATCTATCTATCTATCTATCTATCTATCTATTTATCTATCTATCATCTATCTATCAATCATCTATCTATCTATCATCTATCTATCTATCTATCTATCATCTATCTATCTATCTATCTATCTATCTATCTATCTATCTATCTATCTATCTATCTATCTATCTATCTATCTATCTATCTATCTATCTATCTATCTATCTATCTATCTATCTATCTATCTATCTATCTATCTATCTATCTATCTATCTATCTATCTATCTATCTATCTATCTATCTATCTATCTATCTATCTATCTATCTATTTATCTATCTATCATCTATCTATCAATCATCTATCTATCTATCATCTATCTATCATCTATCATTCTATCATCTATCTATCTATCTATCTATCATCTATCTATCAATCATCAATCATCTGTCTATCTATCTATCTATCATCTATCTATCTATCATCTATCTATCTATCATCTATCTATCTATCTAGCTAGCTAGCTAGCTATCATCTATCTATCTATCATCTATCTATCATCTATCTATCTATCTAGCTAGCTAGCTAGCTAGATAGATAGATAGATAGATAGATAGATAGATAGATAGATAGATAGATAGATAGATAGATAGATAGATAGATAGATAGATAGATAGATAGATAGATAGATAGATGATAGCTAGCTAGCTAGCTATCATCTATCTATCTATCTATCATCTATCTAATCTTCTACTAAGGACTTGCTCTGTGGTAGACACTATGAAAAATACTAAGAATACTTTGGAGCAAAGACAGATGTTATTTTTTCACTTGTGTAGATTGTGGCTTTGTTGGCTAGGCAGATTTTTACCACAAGGCTACCTGGAACAGCATGGGGTGGGAAAAAGGCTTGCAGTCTGAACTGAGAGTCCATAAGAGGAGTCAACTTGGTTCTGTGAATCTTGATTTAGGTCAGTATCAGTGAAGGCTTCCCTGAGGAGTTGGCTCTAGGGGAAAATCTGAATAAGGATGGCAGTGGGACTGTGGGGTTTAGACAGAGGGAAGATGGCTGGTGCAAAGGGACTGTGGTGCATCAGAGAGGCTGAGAGGAGGCTGGTGAGGAGATTGTGTTTGAAGTGAGCTCAATGAGGCCAGGAGAAGAGGAACAGACGGGGCTCTTAGAGGCTTCATTTGATGGCAGTGGGAAGAACCACCAAGCTTTGTAGGAGCAAGAGGAGGAGGAGAGGAGCCTCTGGAGTGTCATCATAGTCCATCAAAGCCGATCAAGCAGGGCTGTCCTCTGCCTTATCCTACACTGAATCTGGACCTAAAAATGTGGGCTGGACACTTAGCGAGCAGCTGTTGAAAGCGTGAAAGTTACGGCATTAGGGACAATGAGAAGTGACCAGCACACTCAGGCATGGAGGAGAGGCAGTGGCTCGGGAAAGTCCTCACCCAAGTAGTGAGTGGTGTCACCAGTGCCACAACCAAGAGCCTGGGCCTTCTCAAAATTTGTCATTCATGTTTATTTTCGTCCCAAGTGGAAATGTCTTTGTTCAGTCACAAGTGAAGAACATGCACATAGGCTGTGATGAATAAGTGAAGTCAGACACGTTGATAATGGGAACCAAGTGGCCTTGGGGCTCTCAGGAGCCTGCTCTTCAGAGGGAGCCACTTAATTATCAGTTCTGCTTCCTATGGGATGGTGACTCTCCACTGTCTCTTTTGCCTTGGAATTCACCCAATGGAAGGGGCCAATTTCACGTGGGGAAAATGAAGTGCAGAGATTCCTTGGCTTGCTGTGGCCAGTATCCAGGCATAGCATCCCAGACACCCAACACTCATGAAAGCTCTCCTCCTGGTTTAGTCAGCTGTAATGTTGCTTTCACCTGACAAACAGCTACAGGGAGGAATTATTTTGGCTCATGGTTTCGGAGGGGTCAGCCCACAGTTTTTGGCCCCAGATGCTCAGACACACATGATCATGGCAGCAGGGGCCTGTGGCAGAGGCTGTTCACCTCATGGCTGACAGGAAACAGTACAGAGTGCCCAACAGGAAGGGGCCCAGGCAGGAACACCCCAGTGACCTCCTTCTTCCATCCATACAACACCTTCTACAGTTCCACCATTTCCCGTCTGCAGATTCAGATTCTGAATCCACAGATGTATTAGACGACCCTTTTGACTGTCACTTTCCAAAATCCCATCAGTGGCAACCAGGTCCCTCCACCCCAGCCTGTGAGGGACATTTCACACTTAAACTATGATGCTGCCCTTCCAATGTAGTTCTGACACGGGGGGGTGGGGCAGTGCTTGCTTTGTTCTGGGTTCTCTAGCATGTGTCATAAAGAACTCAAGTGGTAAGTCCCCAGGCTAAAACTTGGAGTGACTCAGCAAACACAGAGATGGGGACATTGGGAGGTAGTGACTCAGCAAGCAGAGATGGAGGATATTGGGGAAGATGTGAGAGACAACTTTTAAGAAACAGCCATTACCAAGAAAGTTCCAGCAGACAGACAGATCGTGGCGGAAGGGCTCCTGGTGAGGGTCTCACAGTGACATCCTTTTTTCTCTCACCAGTCTGCTACTGACATCGGGCAAATTCAGGAGCTCCAGGTGCAGCTGGAAGAGGTCAAGAAGGAGAAGCAGCGGGTTCAAGAGCAGGTGTGTGCTCAGAGCTGCCGTGTTGTGGGGAGGGAGACTGCCTGCCTGTTATCGGTGTCTGCTCCTGGGAAGGTCACTCATGCTGTCATCCAGTCACTCAGTCAACTTCAGTCACAGTCATGTGCCGGAAAAACTGAGGACAATCCTAGTAAACAGACACATGCTCTCTCGGTCATTGTTGTCCTTTCCTGGTCACTGAGGCCCATGGGCCATTCGGTACAAACTTCTCTCCCTCTGAGAAGTCGTGGGTCTCTGAGCCACACCTGTGGGAGCCGAGTCACCACAAGCAGGACAAAGGTAAAGGCAGCACTGGCTGGTACTATTTATATGCCAGGAGCTAGTCCTTTAGTCTTCACAATGCAAATGGAGAAACTGAGGCTCAGAAAGGAAACTGACACACCCAGACTGATGCAAGCAGAAATCAGGCTGTGTGCTGAACCCACAGCCGCCCTTGCCTGTGTCTTTGGACACAGGAGCTGTTGCTCTTAGACAGTTTGGCCCCTTATGGCAGGGAAGGAGCGACAAGAATGAAGAGCTGAAGTCCTGCTCTGGATTCGGAGGGCTCAGGAAGCGTCAGCTCTCAGCGCCTGCACTCTGGAGCAGGGTGTGAGATTCTGACAGGTCCTCAGATGGGGCCTAGTAACGTAGCCCTTGTGCAGGGAATGGGTGCCAGTGCCGGGGACCACATGTTTGTCCTGGGACTCAGTGCCAATGGGTACCAGTAGACTCTCAATGTGCCCCCCCCAGCTGCAAGTGGCCCAGCTGCGCATTGAGCATCTGGAACAGTCCACTGTGGACCGAGCTATCGTCAGCAGGCAGGAGGCCATCATCTGTGACCTGGAGAACAAGACAGAGTTTCAGAAAGTGCAGTTGAAGAGATTTGAGGTACTTGGGGACACACAGCCTGCTGGGGGCTGGAGCAGGGAGAGATGTGTGTGGGGTTCCACCTACCCCACGTTCATCACTGCGATCGGGCCTTGCTTGGGATGGATCTGCCTGCTCTGGCTCCTGTCCTCCTCCCTCCCTTTTCCTTTTTTCCTTTCTTTTACATGGTTTCTTGAATCTCTTATTCACTCACCCCTCCCCAGTCCATCCTCCACCATCGTAAGTCCCTTGGTCCCTCGTTCAGTTTGATTTTCATCCTGAGTCTCGTCTATCCCCTCCCCTCCTAACTCCTGTTTCCCCTCCTGTCCCCTTCCCTTCTCCTCCTCTCCCCATGTCCTCTCTTTCCTCTTCTCCAGCCCTAGACCCTGCTGTATGCCCATCCTTTAATCTGCGAGTGCCATTCCTCCCATTTCTATATACCAATCTATCCTCTTATACACCCCAAACTCATTTTGCATGTAGTAAGCCCTGCTAGGTACATGATGGAGAGATGTATGAGCAGATAGCTTTGTAGGGGATGAGCACAAACACCCATTGTGCTGTGTGGGGTCATGAGTGCTAGTGGACAAAGCCTTCAGGACTGGGGACCCAGGTGGCTTCCGAGAGGAGTGGGCCTGGAGGATACTAAGATCGTGGTGGGTTTGGACGGAGCTCGGTGATGACATTGACTCCGACCTTGAGCATGCATTCACTTCTTCAGCTCTGTGGGCTAAGAGCATGGGACATTTGCAGAGGACCCCCCCTGAATTGTTGAAACTGCATCCCACTCTATCTGTGCCTGGCATTTGATGCCACTGTGAGGGGCAGGAAGGGTAGACCTCACCATCAGAGCGAGACCGTGACCCCAGAGAGACAAGCCCCAGCATCAGGGACAGGAAGAAGTGGTTGATACCTGCCCTGCCCTCCACCCTGGCTGGGCCCTTATACCACCTTCTCTGCAGCCCCCTGGCTTCCCTGCAGTGAATCTGGACCCTGAAAGACTGTACCCCTTGTTTTGAAATACTTTCCCCAACCCCTGGGGACTTCTGGACTCTGAAAAGGCTGCTGTGGATTGAGGCCAGAGAGAAACTCTTGTAGATTTTGACCTTCATCAGTTTTCAGCCCAGCTGGGGAATTGCTTAGGCACCAGGGTCTCTTCAGACACAGGAAGTGCCTATCTGCCAGGTGTTAAATGATTACATGGCATATACGGCCACATTGTGGGGTTTTGAATTCAGTTCTAGCATAGCTAAGGAAAAGCAGGAAAGAAAAATGACTATAGATCCCAGCCCTGCGTTCTCTCATCCCCTCTGTCTGTCACCGTCATTTGAGCACAGCAGAGTCCTAGGTCCTTGCTGCAGAGGGCTGGGGACACTGTGACAACTTTACTGGCTGCTATTTGAAGTGGGAATTAAACTCCCTTTGAAAGGCAAAGACAGCCCAATGGGCTAGCTTCTCTTTGGGGGATGATGAAGACCTGAGTCTGTCCTCATCTGTGGCTTTGGAGAAGGGACTTGGAGCTCCCTAGCAAGACTTGAAATATTCACATGGGCTCTTGCCTAGGTCCTCATTCCTGCTTGGGTTCTCACTCCTGCCTGGGTCCAGGCTCCTGCCTGTGTCCACACTCCTGACTCTGTCCACGTCGCTGACTCTGTCCACGTCGCTGACTCTGTCCACGTCACTGACTGTGTCCACGTCACTGACTCTGTCCACGTCCCTGACTCTGTCCACGTCGCTGACTCTGTTCACATCGCTGACTGTGTCCACGTCCCTGACTCTGTCCACGTCACTGACTGTGTCCACGTCGCTGACTCTGTCCACGTCCCTGACTCTGTCCACGTCGCTGCCTGTGTCCACGTCGCTGACTCTGTCCACGTCGCTGACTCTGTCCACGTCACTGACTGTGTTCACGTCGCTGCCTGTGTCCACATCGCTGACTCTGTCCACGTCCCTGACTCTGTCCACGTCGCTGACTCTGTCCACACTCCTGACTCTGTCCATGTCGCTGACTGTGTCCACGTCACTGACTGTGTCCATGTCGCTGCCTGTGTCCACGTCGCTGACTCTGTCCACGTCCCTGGCTCTGTCCACACTCCTGACTCTGTCCACGTCCCTGACTCTGTCCACGTCGCTGCCTATGTCCACACTCCTGACTCTGTCCACATCGCTGACTGTGTCCACGTTGCTGCCTATGTCCACACTCCTGACTCTGTCCACGTCGCTGACTGTGTCCATGTCGCTGCCTATGTCCACACTCTTGACTCTGTCCACGTCGCTGACTGTGTCCACGTCGCTGACTCTGTCCACGTCCTTGATTCTGTCCACGTTGCTGCCTGTGTCCACACTCCTGACTGTGTCTGTCCACACTCCCTGTGTCCATGCTCCTTGTTTCCCACTGGGACAGGTGGAGTCCATCCTGTCAGCTGCCTGATGAATTCTGGTCCTGGGATCTGTTTTCCGCTGCACTCAGGTGCTGCTCTTTTTCCCTCCATTCTGTCATTGTGTCTACATGGACTTCTGTCCCCAGGAAGAAAGAAACATGTGCAACATCAGAGCCTGGTGAGGACTGACCCCAAATACAGAAGCCAGAACCCCTCTCCCAGGGCAGCACTCCACCTAGACCCCGGAATGGAGGGGGCAAAGTCTAGTAACTCCCAACCCTCATCGAGTCTGTGCGAGGATCTCTCTACCCCATGCACAACTTAATGTGTCAGATCCTGGCAGCATCCCAGAGCAGAGACACGAGCATCGTTCATTACTCCTGCCCTCATCCTTCTCTTTCAGTCTAATCACCTGCCCAGTATCACACAGCAGGAAGAGGTAGAGGCAGGATTTGAACCCAGAGACTCTCCAGACTCAGGGTTTTCTGCACGTTTACCCTATAGTCTCTCAAGGTAGGATCTCACATTTTCAAAGTGAATCTTTTTTGTTTGTTTGTTTGTTTGTTTGTTTGGTAGCAGAAATCATCATTTGTAGCCGGATCACTTGGTATACACATGCACAGGCTCAGCAGAGGATCATTTTGCCTTGGGGACCCCGCTTCAGGCTGCTAGCCTCGTACTCCGAGTGGGTCAGCACTGTCCTCTGCCCCTCCCAGGTCCTGGTGATCCGACTTCGAGACAGTCTGATCAAGATGGGTGAGGAACTGTCCCAAGCAGCCAAGTCGGAGGCCCAGCAGCGGGAAAACAGCCAGTATTACCAGCGACGCTTGGAGGAGCTGAAGGCAGAGATGGAGGAGCTGGTCCAGAGGGAGGTGGAGGCCAGCCGGCGCTGCATGGAGCTGGTGAGGCCTTGCCTGCTGGGCTCTTGTGTCATTAGGCTGGGGTAGGTGCCATCTTGAAGGGTGGCTCCAAGATGGTCTCTTGGGCCTTTGCAGTGTGGGTTACTAAGAGGATGGGCTGAGAGATGACTCCACCATTGGACACCAGCCTAGGGGCATGTCCATATCAGAGCACTGGCGTTTGCTGTGGCTGGTGGCTGCCCTGCTCTGGTTTGCTTTCTAGTTCTCACATGTGGAATGCCAGTGGAAGGCTAGCCTTGGGAAACAAGGAGGGGAAACACCGTGAATCTAATATCTGTCTTTCTTGGGGTCGCGGTGCAGTCCTAGTTTGAAAAATGGGGAAACTGAGGCCTCAGTGGTGCAATAACTAGTCAGCTGCCATGTCTTAAATGTAGATTTATCTCTGGGCTTAGAGCAGAAACGATGAATGTGTAAGGTAGAAGCCAGTGTGTACCGAGCATGTACCGGACACCTTATTCTGAGTGAAATGTTTGCTGTTTGAATCTTCCTGTCAGACTTGGAGGTGTGTGGTATCATCATGCCCATTATGAAGATGGGGAAACTGAGGCCCTAAGCCAATAATTTGCCAAACTGAGGTTCAGAGTTGACCACTCACTGCCCTGAATTTCCACAGGTCTGCTCAATTCTAGGCCACATCACTAGTGAGCAAATCTCCTTCTAGAGACTTGGCATGGGCCAAGGGATATATTAAATTTGCTTTCTACCTCATGGGAAATTCCTCTATCATCCAGCATATTGTTCTGAAAATGATTTCCCACTGAGATCACAAGGCATGTGACGGCATCGTCTTGCGGACAGGACTACTGAAGGCTCCAGATTCTGATTCTGTGACTTGGGGGCCACCTGACGCTATCACTCAGCTTCAGTGAGCAACATGTCCAGCGCTGGCCCTGGGGCCTCCATGGTGTGTTGTTTGCTCCTTCCCACCCCGTCCTCTCTTGCTCTGTGACAGGGCTCACCCATTTTCTTCCTCCAGCCACATCCACAGCCATCTATAGCCAGAGTCACACTGCCAGCTCCCCCTTGACAAGCCATCTGCCTGGCTCTTTCTTCCGTGTGGGAATAGATGAGGTATTGCACAGAGATAGGGTCCCCAGACAAAAGTCCAGGCTCTTGGCTGGCATTTCCTCTTCGGCCCTGAGGGAGAGAGAGGTTCTTTCTTCCAGTTGACAGTGTTCATTAACAGCCCTGCTTCCCATGCTGTGGCCGCTCCTGTAAGCTCTGGCCTGCAGGAGAGACATCCTAACCCGTGTCTCCCCCGATGCCTTCTTTAGTTGGCTGCACACACAGGCGGGCTGGCCTGGCAGATGGCCGGCCTGCTTTTGTCCTCTGCCTCTCCTTCTCTTGTGCTCCCTTCTTCTCCCTGTCCTCCTCTTCCTGTCTCTACTCCTGGGGTGACTTGCAGATTATTAGTATCCCTGAAAATATTGGAAAAATTAGACAGGCATAGTTCATAGGTGCTGCTGTTCCAGGCAGCCAATCCCAAGGTTTAAACTTCTCAGTGCACCTGAAAGTTAGGTTCACACCACACGCACTGTAGTCCAATAAGTAGCATTGTGGCTAAGACCAATGTAATTGCTGCCTGATATTTAAAAACACTAAACGTTGCTCTTGATCATTGGAGTTGCAGGGATAAACAGATTGATGGACTTGCTTCATGCGGGGTCCCCTCAAATCTTCAACTTATAAATGACACAATATCTATGATGGCCAATACAGAAATGGGCCATGAAATGACATACGTGTAGAACAAAGACCTCGAGCATAAAGTAAAACAGAAATAACATAAAACTGTAGACTGCACGGTATGCTCGCATGCTGAAATTGGACCCCAACCTTTCTGCTTGCTTATAGCAAGGACTTGGGTCAGTTTATGAAGACCTAAGCTTCATTCTATTCTGGTATGTTAGTGTCCTGTGAGTGTGGTCACACATGACTGCAAACTGGGGGCGGTGGTTCCTGTGCAGGTCACAGTCTGAAATCTGGCTATCAGCTGGGCCACGCTCACTCTGGAATCCCCAGAGGAGAATCAGTTCCTGACCTTACCTGGCTCCTGATGGTTCCAGGCCTTCCTGGCAAGCAGCATCAAAGCTCCAGTGTGTGCCTCCCCTCCACTGTCCTTGTACCTGAGGAGGAGGGTTAGGACAGCTGTCCCCAGATTTAGAACCCACCCTAAGTAGAGGCTACGCTGACTTCAGAGCTGCGCTTCAATCACAGCTGCAGATAAACTCATATTCACGGTCCTACATGAACATGTGTCGGGGAAGACCACCCTGAACTCATCCCAGGAGTGGAGACTATAGTATCAAAGGCATCTGGCACATTCCATGATCTCCTCTGGGTTTCAACAGCAAGGCTCACAGGGACAAGTTGGGCCCGGCAGCCTGTGCTGGTGACTATTAAATCACTGTGACCAACATACCTGACAGATGTGGCCTGAGAGAGGAGAGGCTTGTTTAGGTTCACAGTTTCAGAGAGATTTCAGTCCATCATGGTAGACAGGGAAGACAGGTGGGATCAAATCATTCTGTGATGGTGGAAGCTGGTGCCAGTGTCTGTTCACATAGTGTACACCAACAACATCAAACCAGACCAGAACCAGAGATGTGTTCAACCTCTGAAGGCTTAGCAGCTGGGACCTGCTTTGGCCAGCCAGGCCCCACAGCTTAAAAGCTCCACAGCCTTCAAAGTACAGCCACAAGCTGAGGCCCCAGAGCTTAAGACATGAGGCTGTGGGAGGTGCTTCCCATTCAAACCAATGTACAGCCTCTTGGGAAGAGTGGGTGACCCCCTCACCAGCTGGTCTACCCTCAGTCACATCCCTGTGTGGCCTTTGGGCCCTGAGAAGTTTACAGTAGGAGCAAAGAGGTTGTGCTTCCTTGTGTCACTGACACAAGACACATGGTGAGGCAGAAAGGGCCCGTCTCTCTGCTGGTCATCCTGCCACCTGCCTGGGTGCCTCATTGACCTCAGCCCACCTGTCCTGCTCACAGTTTGCATGTGAGCAATGAATCATTCCTGCTGTTCCTACAGGATAGGGTAGAACTTCACCAAAACCCCACCAGGAAGGAAGTCTGCATTCCAGTCCTCTCCTTCATGTTGGGTGTGTCCCCAAAGTTCTCTTGTGGGTCATGTACCATGGTAAGCTAGAGTTCTAGCAACGGCAAGGAGCAGGGCAGAGAGCTGCCCTCAAGGAGCCCAAAACTGCTATAGCTTGGGTCGTGAGTGCTCCTTAAAGGCCTGTGTGTCCAATGCTTGGTCACCTGCCTGTGGCTTTAGAAGGAGACAATGAAATCCTTAAGAGGTGAGGCCTAGTGGAAGAAAGTTAGGTCATTGGGGGTGTTTCCTTGAAGGGGATACTGGGATTCTAACCCCTTCCTGTCTTTTGATTTGCTTCCTGGCTTCTGAGTGGCTTCCTCTACCATATTCCTGCCAGGATGCTAGGCCACCACAGACCCAAAGCAAAAGGGCCAAGTGAACTCTCTGAAGCTGTGAGCCAGAACCAACCTTTCCTTCTTATTCGTTGTTTGCCTTGGGTGTTTTATCACAGTAACTGTAAAATGCAGTCACTAAGGCCATCACTAGTAGATTCCACACAGGTATTGTTTCCTGTATAATGACAGCCCTGAGTGCTCACAGTCCAAACTTGGAGTCGCATTCCATCCATGCCCACTGTCACCATCACAGATCTGTCTCTTAGATGATAAGACTCTGTTTGTTTGTTTTTTTGTTTTTTTTTTTTTTTTTTACAATTTGAATCTTCCTGGGAGGAAAAATGGGGATTTCTTAACTCCACAGTCTGGTATCCATCCATTCACTCGTTCTCTCCATGAATGTTGAGTTTGCTGAGTTACCATCCACTCTGACATTGAATGCCAACTCCAGAAACTGGGGACCATGGAGGGGCAGAGGTGGGAGGTTGACAGGGGTGGCAGGGTCAGGAAAGGCAGTGCTGGGATTGTTGACCTTGTGTGTCTAGCACTAAAGCTAATCCTGAGACAGCCCCTGTCCTTTCAACCCGACCCTGCAGAAAATGGCTCTGGTTTAGGAGACGGAGGAAGGTTCCGGGCCCCTGGGCCTCCTTTCCGCCTGTCCCCAGCTGGCCCCTTTGTCACTGCTAGTGTTGGTTTAAAGGGCTGTGAGCTGTTGTGTGTGTGTGATTGATCCCTCAGCTGGCTCACCGGCTCATCCAGATCAGTGTCAATTGCCTCACCAATGGAACATCTCTCCCCAGGAAAAAAGAAAGAAAGAAAAATGAGCTCTGTCCCTTAATTTTAGCAGATGCACTATTCCGGGAGTCTGTAGGTGCCACTGTGGAAAAGAGACTGTTCTGGCTCTAAATCACCCAAGTCCGTCTGTCCGTGGGTTGGCAGTGCAGCTGATCGCTGAGTTTATGTCCTGTTTCTCAACAGTCACAGAGCCCAGGAAACCACCTTGGCCCCAGGACAGGGTCTCTAGGGGGCATTGGGGAAGCTGGGGTACTGATGGGGATGGGGAACCTACAGCTACCTGCTTCTATCCTGACACCCCTGTGGTGGAAGCTGTGCCTGTTGGGTTTATCCTGCAGCATGGCCTGACTCTGGTTTCAACTGGAACCAGGGGCCCTGCTCACAGGCTTCCCGGGTCTCAGGGAACTTGCCCAGCACCTCTGTACACTCGATGTGCCATTGACTGGAAGCTCCTTCCACTCACTCTGGCCACAGTCAAGCTCAGGATTTTAGGCACTTTTCATATTTGTCCCTTGCTGCCCTGTCCTTGTGCCCAATCTGCGTTAAAGCTGCGTCCTTTTTGAGCAAGGCTCCTGCGGCTCTAGTTTTCTTTCTCATCTTCCCAGATTTCCTCTTCACTTGACCTTCCCTGCAGGAGATCTTTCTAGAAAGAATAAGTGTGACTGTGCTATTATTTGGCCAAGACATCTCCCAAGGTACTTAGAACAAAGTCCAGCCTCAACCCCGGGCTCTGCATATCTCATTCCTTTACCT